TATGCATATATGCCAATAAGAGATTGACCAGTTGCAGTCCTAAACATCAAAAGGAGGATTCAACTAAACAATACCAAATGAATTAAAACATGATGGTTTGTTTTCTGTGAGTTTCCCAGAGTAATATCAGATAATCAGTTTCTCCGTGTTGTCTAAATAATACCTCGGACATAATCTTAACATTCCTCAGTCATGTATTTAAAAACAGTACATCTTACATAATGATAGTTAAAGACAAAGAAACAACTAGTAACAGATATAACTTTTATAAGATGTTGATTCCGTAATAATTAGTTGTTCAACAAGACTAAACATAAGAATCATGCAAATGAACTTCTAAGGTAAAGATTATGTTCAAATATGTTATTTTGTAACATTTAAGAAATTCCTGTGCAGATTATGTACACTTTATTGAATATTCTGATTGTATTCAATACTTATTTTACTGTCACATAAGTATCAGGGCTTTATTTACCATCAAAGTAACTGGAAGATAACTCACGTGTTTCTACATCATTTTTTAAAAATCATACTGCAGTTTATTACGGAATTTGAAGTCATTAATTCAAGTAATTCACAAAAATAACTCGGCGCACAAATACTGTGAAACTATTCGCTCTAATTTAGGCGACAGTTCTTATATAAACCCTGGTGTTTGCTCAAATGTCTTTTCACTTAAATAACTATTTCAATACTATTGTATTGAATTATGACTTACCTAAATGACATTACAATCTTTGAGAACACTAGAGCACAATCCTTTAAACAGAGAAATCTGACGTAATTTATTTTAGTCACTTATTTTGATATAAAATCAATAAGGTATTAGGTCAGTTATTACACTCTTTAAACCAACCGTTGTGTTCCCATATACTTTAGATACATTGATGTAAATCAAACTTTTCTCAATAAAATTAATTAATATTGTTTCAAAGCTTCTCACAAGTTTCTAACAACTAAATATTACTGAACCGGCATCCAACGGTGTTATTGTCCAACTTCAAAGAATCCACGAAATTGAGTAACTGTTCTCCATTGTCTTCAGAGAGTTACTATCTCACAACAGACCTGGTTGAACTCCACTAGTCACTGCTTCTGGGTTCAAATCTCACGCGGTGGAATTGGGGATGCGCACTGCTGAGGAGCCCCACAATAGGATGAAACGACCGCCCAGTGCTTCCAGGCTTCCCATAGTGGTGTAGCTTCAATTGACTCGTGATTTCAACTATAAAATAACTAAGTATTACATAAATCAAATGGATAACATCTATGTAAACTATATTTTGTTTACTGAAGAGAAAATAAATTGCGAGCTGTACTGTCTCGGAAAAGCAAACAAACAAAACACATGTATAACAAATTCACATCTATATACGACAGTATAAAAAGTGATTAGGATTTAGGATAGAAGTAAGAGATTATAGTACAGACATCAATCTCTGTTAAGAGAAGAAAATATTAGATAAACAACTGAAATGTATGAAATACGTAAAAACTAACACTAGCATTCAAGAATGAATTTGTTAAAATAATAAAGAAGAAATGACGTCATGGAAGTTACCCTATCCTAATGTACACGAAACGAATTTTTCTTATATACGTAGATACTGACAAGCTTTTTGATACGTAACTAGAACTTTTAATTCAAATGCATCACTACATTGTACAGTTCATAGTGGACTAAATACAAATAAGGGTATTAACACATTCATCAAATCATTTTTAACAGTGCTAGGAGGTAAATGATTATTTTCAACATAATACATTTGGTTTTATTCTGAATTGGGTTTATGAAACAAAGCTGTCAAAACTGGATGGTGTTACACAATCAAAATTGAATCATAACAATAGGATAGCAGCTAAACATCGTAAAAGCATGTTGTAGAAGACGTTGGAAATGCAAATAAGACAATTGTTAGTATGCTGAGTCAGTTAACTCCAAGTTTAAATGAAGGAAGTATCTCCAAAAGTGTCTTATTGTTATTAGAAACAAATAGGTTTAATAGGTTCTGTGTATATCACATCATTAGGTACTCTCGCCATACTTTTACGAACATAACTGTTCTTACGAAATCAAATAGTCTCTCACTTTCGATCAGTAATCCTTTTGTTAAAATTAGTAAAACATGAGTATAAAACTAATGAACTAATGTATTGTGCAGTACAATAAATCACATAATTCAATAATTCAGTTTGTATTAGTAGTTTGTAACCAATCGCTATTAGTGAGTCTTCCAAGTTAACTCAACAACGAAAAGTCTCACACTTTTATTCCACAAATTAAGTAGTATGATAGAGATAAAAGAAATTTAATCAAACTAACATTTCTATGTTCATTAGTTTTATGTCTCCGACCTATATGCTCAGTTTATTCTAGATAATTCGAAATATATTTTATTTACTGAATGTCATTATATTGAAACTTGAGGAAGTATAAATAATGGTAGTGAACACATAATATTGTTCCAGTATAAAAACTTTGGTTTAACGTTTTTCATCGTTTGAGCTACAATGTCTCCTTAGGTATAAACGATTAATTTCTAGGAAACAATTTTAACCTTATTATCACTAACATCATATTATTTATGTCAGTGAACATATCGTTAGAGTACTTATCATAAGAGATGTAGAAAAATGTCTATATCAGAACGGGTTTTTTGTGAATATTATAGTAAATTTAATAGTTGAGATCATGAGTCATTTGAAGCTAGAACACCACTGAAAACCTTGTAACTCTGGACAGCCGTTTCGTCCTAGTGTGGGACTCCTCAGCTGTGCGCATCCACGATCCCACTTCGCGAGATTCGAACCCAGGACCTATCGGTCTCGCGCGCGAACACTTAACCTGTAGACCACTGAGCCTGCATTCAGCGACGTTAATGTCTAAGTTCAACCAACCCATGAAATTGAGCTACATATCTACCATTGTCTTCAGTGAGTTACCATTTCACAACAGACCCTGTTGAACTCCACTGGAAACAATAGAACGGAACGGCCGTCCAATGCTTTCAGGTTTTACATGGTGGGGACAACTGAATGTATTATAGCACAGCATTACAGAATATCTCAGCAAACTATGAGAACCATATAGTGAACAGTTAATTTGCAAAATAACAATCAATTGTCTCAATTTGACTGTTTCTTCTGCAAATATCCGTCCATAGTCTCCGATTATAATTGTTCATGCATTTCCGTACCAATTGCGTGCCGTTACCGTTCTCTCCTTATCGATACATTCAATGCCCGACCATCTTATGGATATCAGTAACCCACATCACAATGTCATGAGACTAGTAGTAAATAAACCCCTCATAATGGAATGCATAAGAAAATGGACTAATTAAATGAGCAAATTTAAAAACGAAATCTTAAATGTTTTTTAATAACTTAACAGTCATATATAAATATTTCTATATTCTGGAAATAATTATGTATAAAAGTTAATGGAACACGTGGTTAGCATGAAGTTTCCAAACGATTTTTAACTGTAATGTTTTGACTTTTATGGTATATGAATGAAGACATTTAAAAACAGGGTTGTTTGAAGAGTTTTGTAGTAATTTTTATATATAGTTGAAATCATGAGTCAATTGAGCACCATGGAAAACCTGGAAGCACTGGATGGTCGTTTCGTCTTATTGTGGGACTCCTCAGCAGTGCGCATCCACGATCTCGCCTTGAGAGATTCGAACCCAGGATCTACCGTCTCGCGCGCGAGCAATTAACCGATAGACCGCTGTATGCACACTGCTGATGAGTCCCATAATAGAACGAAAAGACCGTCCAGTGCTTTCAGGTTTCCCATGGGGGTCTAGCTTCAACTGACTTACGATTTCAACTATATACAAACATTCAAAAAGTTTTGAGAATACTACTTTTTTGGTGTTACATATCATTTTGTTATCATTAAAGAGGTTAGGAGTAAAAGACTTAGGCTATCGTAGCATTTAGCTTGTCCACATCCAAGTTTAGGTTCTCATTAACAAACATCAGATAAATAACACAAAATCTTATGTGCTCAAACATTGTTTTAGTAGAAGTAATAGACAAATGTGAAATTTTAGAAGGCTAGATTCAACCACCAATCATGATCATAGTGATAACATAATAAAAATTATGAACTGTATGATGTAACTAGTGAAATGAATATCTAAGAATTTTGGTTACATAAAAATCCATTGGGTAAAGATTAGAAAAATCCTCTTCAGTATATAACTGATCCAAGGAATTTTTTAAAGAACAAGTTGACTTTTTGGGCTGCCACAATTTGTATTTACTAGATTACATGCTGTTGTAGAGCATGTTATATTGTCCATATAAAGAGTTTAACAGAGCTTCCAAACGCATGTCCGATCACTAGATAGTATGGCTATCTGAAAGCGAGTCTTTCTGAGCATCTTTTCATTGTTTATCATCTATTTTCACCAGAATCTTCATTTAATGTCTAACAAACTGTTAGTAATTCAAGATGGATAAGAAATTTGTGGATAGCAGATGATTTAGTGATCCATCATTTTAAACCTGGTCTGTGTTTGAAAGCTATATATTTAATCCATTACTTTATCACGGCTGTATTACCCCCTCCCCTTCTTAGTATGTAGGTTGTTTTTGACAAATCTCTATTTCTTGTTTATCTTTTCTGTATTTATTCAAGTGGATATTTATCTTTCACAATCCCTTTTTGTTTTGTTTTCAATTTTATAGCCCTTTGATTATTATACAACTACATTCGATAGATCAGATTTTTGTTTAATTTCTGATATCTTTTTTTTACTGACAAAACAAAGTTCTTTTTTTATATTAGACAGTTGTGAATAAAATGTTAACTACAGTAAAAGAGACTAACGTGAAGATTTTCTTTGTTAAGCTGTATCTTATTCCACACCTTTAGGACTTAAGTCTTTTCACACTATATCAAACAAATACATTAAAATATATACTTTCCCATTGATCTTAATAAAATTGATTATTATCTGTATTTATAACACAATGAAACATACCTAGTAGCCCAGGTAAGTGTAGAAACTCCATTATCTCTCCAAACATAAAACCAAAACCATAGAAAATAAGTATACTCAAAGCTTCACCATGACGACATTCAAGTGCTTTTTCAAATTTACTCTCTGAAGATTGTGTATCATTCTCAGAAGTATTTGAAGATATATCTATTCTTTTCATTACAGAAATTAATCGACATTGTGGAGGTAAGGCAATACTTGCTTTAACAGATATAATACATGCATAAATAGCTAATAGAAATAGTCCATATGTAAATACTCCACTTAAATGAGTATAAATCCATAATAATGGTCTAGATAACCATGAAGGTAATTTTATACGTTTTAAATATGTTTTACATTGATTTTTAAATGTCTCATGATATTTTTTCAATCGATTAGTTTTATCTGTATTATTCTTTTTTTGAAATTCCATACTATCACTGTCGAATTCTTTATTGAAATTCTTCTCGTAATTCATTTTTGATAAGTTTCCACTTTTTTCATTAGTATTAATTGATTTCAATTGATTTTGTATATTTCCATCAATTAATTGAAAATATTCTTTATTAGAATCTTCATTTATATATTCTTCAGTTTGAGCAATTTGATTAGTAGATTGAGATTGAAATGAATGTTGATTATTTATAGTTGGATCACAAGGTGAACTACCGACTTCATCAATTGTATCAAGACCTTCACGATAATTCAATAGTGATACTATTTATTAAAAAAAAACGAATTGAAAAGTTATAGAGATATCTATGTTAATAGAAAAGAGGCTAAAATCTTAGGATCAATATTATATAAGAAAACCTTATCAGAAACAATATCAAATATCAGGTTCTGTTCTTTTCATGAACAGTTATGATACCAATATTATAAATTTCTTTTAATATCAGGCTTTACTAGTGTTTATTATAAAATAACAATTAATCTCTTATTTAGTATAATTAACTTATGATTGTTAACAGACCAACCATATTAAGAAAACATTTAAAATGAAATGTATCATCATATAAGAGGAAGAATGCGTTTGTAATATCTCGGCGAATGAATTTGAAGTAAATCTAAAGTTTCACTTGACTTTCTGGTCCAGGTCGGCTTTCTATATATAAATCCTTGGAGTAATAAACTGTTCTTTGTTTTAACAGAATAGCCAAAAACTAGATTTTTATTTATATATTTCTTTAAACACATAAATATTCGTACAAGGAAGCATCAGATACATTTGTGCCACACAAATCTCATTTGATTTGTGTAAGGGCTTGGATACTGCCCGAGTGTCTAGACCGAAGTAGGTGGTTTCCTTAGGGGATCACACTCGAGGCCTTTGACCTAAAGGTCTGATCCATAAGCAGTGAAGAATCGTGAGGAGATGTAGTCCCATGGTAGTCGGTGACCAACGATTGATTCATACGCCATTTGTTCCCTTAGGATACTGGAACCGATGGGCACCATTGATTTGGAATCAGGGTTTTCCAACTCCCCTAGGTGGACTCGCCTTGTCCACCAACCCGGTTAAAGCTCCGGACATTCGCTTTTCGTCCTCTCAATTTCGAAAACAACAGTAATGCCACGAGAAGTTAGTGAGTAGGACTTCCGTGGCAGAGGCTATAAACGCGTGGCCATGTGAGAGCATTTCGAGTGGGAGAGCGGGCTCTCCCCACTCTCGGCCGTACCAAGACATTTCGGGGCTGAAAGTTTAACGCCAATTCTACGAAGAATTTGATTGATTGATGGAAGCTATTGATTTCTTTCAGGATGTCATTTAGTTGGATACTCCTGTAAAATTATAACTATATGTCGGTTAAGGGCTTCGGCTCGAAACTGGTAGGTACTAATTTCGAATCTCGCGAGAGCGGGTTCGTGGATGCGCACTGCTGAGGAGTCCCATAATAGGACGAAACGGCCGTCCAGTGTTTCCAGGTTTTCGATGGTGGTCTAGCTTCAATTGACTCATGATTTCAACCTTGAAAAATAACTATATGTATCATAAAAATAGATATTTGCTTCCTAAGAAATCAAATTACCAGTAAATTAGCAGTTTATATCAACACTCGTTAAAATTTGAACAACCAATTTACAAGAAGTTGGGAAACAAGAATGAAAAAACTACGTCTATATAGTCAAAGGTGGTAAGCTTAATGATGAATATGAAGGAGAGGTATCCAAATAATTAAATGTGAAAGTGAGAGAACACAAACAATATTTGAAATATATTTCTAAATCGTTTATAGACTTGAAAACAATACAGAGTAGACCAGTAATTGTATATTACTTTTTAGAAGCGGAACATTAGTGGAAACAAAAAATATTTTAGCAGAGATGGACAGTGGCTAGCAGTGGAATCCAGGACGCGCGTTTCGTCCTATTTGGGACTCGTCAGCTGGATGTACCTGCATCTCAGAGTTGATGTTCACTCTGGGACTCGAACCCAGTACCCTCGCTTCAAACGCCATCGCGTTATCCACTCGGCCACTGAGTCCTGATAGCCAATTGCTTGTGCGATGGGGTGAAGTTTAAATTCACTTGGTATTGTAAATATTTTACTTCTTAAAAAGAACGAATAACAACTGAATCCCTAGATGAATGTGGTGAATTTAAACAATGTGAATAGAAGAGATGAAATATATATAGTTACATTATGGTAATGGTTGATTAATAAATGAAAACGCTATCAACCATAACATGATTCCAACAATAACAAACATTTTAGTCAGTTATTTTGTTTATATTTGCCTTCAAAAACTTCCACTTTAACATTATAATTCAAGATAACATGACCATTATCAATAAATACATACTTCAATGGATTTCATATATATTCTTATGTACTCGTATGTACTTTTAGTATAATAATAATAATAATAATAATAATAATAATAATAATAAACAAAACGGTCACTTCTGTTGTAAATTTGAGATGAGCCTTCATTTGTTTACTAAACTATCACAACAATAGCATACACATACACACTTATTCATATAAGTTATCTGTTAAACGAAGTTCACATAAGGTGACTAATCAGGATTTGAACAGGGTTAAGCAAGTGTTTGTATAGAATTGTTTTGAAATTGTATTTATCATTGATAAACTTGATTTTCACAGTTGAAATCATGAGTGAAGTTAGACCACCATGGAAAACCTGGAAGCACTGGACTGCCGTTTCGTCCTATTATGGGACTCCTCATCAGTGAGCATCCACGACCCCGCACCCGCGAGATTCGAACCCAGGACCTACCAGTCTCGAGCCGAAGCCCTTAACCGATAGACCTCTGAGCTGGCATCCAACGGTGTTAATGTCTAACTTCAACCAATCCACGATTTTTGAGCGACCGTTCACCAATTGTCCTCAGTGAGATGATATCTCTACAACAGACCTGGTAAAACACCACTGGCAACTGCTTCCCACTAGAACTCAAGGAAATATCTCTTGAAGTCAATCACTAGTGAGCATATGATTATAGATCAGAGGGGGTTTTGTGGAGAATTTAGTATTTTCACAGTTGAAATCATGAGTCAATTGAAGTTAGACCACCGTTGGATGCCAGCTCAGTGGTCTATCGGTTAAGGGCTTCCGCTCGAGACTGGTAGGTCCTGGGTTCGAATCTCGCGAGAGCGGGTTCGTGGATGCGCACTGCTGAGGAGTCCCATAATCGGACGAAACGGCCGTCCAGTGCTTCCAGGTTTTCGATGGTGGTCTAACTTCAATTGACTTATGATTTCAACTGTGAAAATGCTAAATTCTCCACAAAACCCCCTCTAAACTTGATTTTGACTATTTCTTAAAAAAAGCTTGAATAGATTAGCCAAAAGAAAATTTCAGATAATTTAAATTTTAATCTTTGAGATTATTTCAAATACAAGTTTCACATTTAATATCATTAAGATCCTGATCACAGTAGAAAGTTATTGTTATCTTATAAGATATTAAAGAAAGCTGCAAAGGGCTGTCTTCTGTTTGTCCCTCCCAACTCCCTGGCTGGGGTCTGAGAGATGCTGTAACACAGTGGTTAGAGACGTTATCAGATATAGCTCAGAATAGAAGCCAGTGGTGATCCTTCTGTAACCTTCTTTTACTTTCTTCATAAAAAGTGGTTATAACTTCCTTAACTGAAAGAGTTCTTCTGGTTGTACATTTCTGTTTCCCCCACTATTCTTCTCAATATTACACTAACATACACTAATCTGTAGTTGTTATTGTTCTTTGTTTTTCTTTTTTCTTACATGCACCCTAACTTCTTTTTCTCTTCCCATTCTCATTGTTTTTTGTGGCCCATATATATTGGGTGCCCCCTTGTACCAATATTTACGTGTTCAAATAAATAAATAAATACAGTAGAAAGATATTTCATCTAAATGTTTACAACTTTTGGTAGTGAATATCAAATAACCAATAATTAATAATGTTTAACTATAAATTCATTCGATGCAGGTACATCCAGCTGACGAGTCCCAAATAGGATAAAACGCGCGTCCTCGATTCCACTGCTAGCCACTATCCATCTCTGCCTAAAATGTTTAACTATGTTTAGATTTCATAACAAGTACATTTTCGTTGGGCTAAGTTAAAATTCAGTCATTAATACTGTATACTATTTTTAACTTTCAATCTAAACGTTATAACTAATAATTTTCTTTTTAAATTTAGTCTAGAAAAAGTAAAAACAGACAGATATATTTCTGTTCTGACAATAATCTCTTATATTAAATTCACTTGTTATTGTTTTGTTAATGTTTAGGACTGCAAATGATTAGTCTCTTGTAGGTATATGTTCATTTTGTGCGGATCGCCTCGATACTGCCTTAATTCACAAGCATTTTAAACGAAGATAGATATTGGATAACTGCGAAATCCAGGACTTGCATTTCGTTCCATTTGGGACTCGTCAGCTGGATGTACTTGCATCTCAGAGTTGACGTAGGACCGCCAATCAGAGAGTAGCGATTTATCGATAGAACCAAATGGCACACGGAAACTGTACGAGCAGTCTAGAGTACTTGTCAGTTCTGCTTTCTCCCTATCACAGCCAGTTATGTCCAGAACAGCCTCTGCGGTATGAATCGTTATATTTCAAATATACTGAGTTCATATATCAATCAAACTGACCACATAGTACCATAAAGGGGAAAATAATATTTGTACAAGATTCAACCAAATGTGGCTGTGAATATGGGAGGCAGTAATTGATAGACTAGGGATAACTCAAGAATGGTAAATCATATAATAATATTCTATAGGTCAAAATAAAGCTTATAATAGAAGGAACATTGATATGAATAGTTTGGTTATTTAGCGATTATACGATAAAAAAATATATGCGCAACCTTGGTTCATAAATAGATCATCATTCATTATCCTTATCAAGGTATAACAATTAATATATAGTATTTCATATGAATAACCATTAAAATTTTTTTGAGTATGAAATTCAGTACCACAATGCATTATGACTCCCTTTTACATTAAACTCGCCCCCTATAAAAATAACCAATTACAAAGTGATAAATATTCAATCTTTACTTTCGATTACTTGTAACTAAGTGTACAAATCATTGTCGATTAAGTATCAATCGAAAATGAACAAAAAAGACTAATATCGCACTGCTGAGGAGTCCCATAATAGGACGAAACGGCCGTCCAGTGCTTCCAGGTTTTCGATGGTGGTCTAGCTTCAATTGACTCATGATTTCAACTTTGAAGAATATTCTTTTC